GAGAGACAGAGAGAGACAGAGAGAGACAGAGAGGGAGGGAGGAAGGGAGGGAGGGAGAAAGAGTTCTGTACAATCTCAAGGGAGGTAAATGTGAAAGCCTGAGATGCAGGACTGGCAGATGATTCCCTATTAAGATCATGAGGATCCATGCTTGGATCGGTGTTTTTGTACCACTGTAAAGCCATGCACTCTTCATTGCTGTTCTTTATACAAATAGAAACCACTGGAGCATTGTTAAACAGACGGAAACCAAGCTTTCTAAAGAGTCTAGTAGCTTTCCTCTCTCTCTCTCTCTCTCTTCCTCACCACAGCATGAGGGCAGAAAGGGTGCAAGACAAAACCTCCAATGCAACAATTTTAAAAGTCAGTGTAACCTCCACAACTGAGATACAACATGGCTTAAAAAACAGATTAAAGTTTTCCCAAGAGAATGCACACACCAGCCCAAATACCGTGTAACCACCACGTGATGATTTCTAAACCGATTCCGTTTAGGATGGAGCTTATTGTGAGTCAAATGTGTCTGGTTGTGACTTTGTCATCAGCAGTCAAGATGATCTCGGTTCCCTTCTGAAGGTTTACTGTGGAGACAGACATAATGAAAAACAAGAAACAGAAGATAAGTGAGAAATGTCAGAACTCTAATATCTTTTTCATTAATATTCAGTGTTATTTAGTGTAAGAAAGGCAACACAACAATTTAAGGGCCGATCATCGGGGCATGACTTGTTAATATTTGAGGGGAAACACATGGTTCCTCTCTTTTTGTTCCCCTACGGTGAAAACGGTAAGCAAATTTGATTTAGGAAAAAAAAAAATGAAGGAAAATAAATTGCTGTCAAAACATACTCTCGACTGCTCTGCTCTTTATAGTCTCTTTATTTTGCTTAGTAAATTATATGGCACCTCAATGTTGCTCTGCAGGCGGAATTCACGGCCATGAGAGACCAATATATGCGAGGTGGCGAGGGCTTCATTATTTGCTATTCCATCACGGACCGCCAATCCTTCCAAGAAGCCGCAGAATTCAAGGAGCTCATTTATCGTGTTCGGCACACCTACGACATCCCCTTGGTGCTGGTGGGGAACAAAATTGATCTCAAGGAATACAGGCAGGTAAGCAAAACCCTTGCCTTCTCCGCGAAATGGGCCTAATGCTGTAGCGTGTGTCTCCTGCACCTCTTACATACGGGCGACAACAAGCCTTTTTGGGAAGCCACCCACTTTCCCAACACAGCCTTGCTGAGAGAGTTCTGAGATGGAGGCAGATTCTTCTGCGGCTCTCGAATAGAGATGGACAGGAGCCAAACCATGAATGCAGAACAATACAACAAAATGGAATGGTTCATGGTTTGGTTCAGGATCCTGTTTTGCTTAAGCAAAGCAAAGTGCCAAACCTTTCCCCATCAGCGCTTGGTTTTGCTACAGGACAACAGACTGCCCACCTGTTCCTTCATCTCCCTACCTGTGTCTGGTACCCCCTTGTCTTCCACCTCCACCAATACCTCTGCTATCCTCAGCGGCAGTGGGTCTGGCTTCTCTGCCAGGATCCAGACCTGCTGCCTCTGAGCAGACACCCACCTATCACCTGGGCAGCGGGTGCATGCCATTTGCACCCCAATCAGGAAGCAGGATATTCAGATTCTACATCTGATGAACAGGGCTGCAGTCCACTGGAACCTGTGGCAGAACTAACCTTGCAACTCCTTTAGATAACGCAAGATTCTGTACATTTCCAATGCATCAGATAAGCATGGCTAGACTCACTCCACTGAAAAGTAACTTTTTTTGCACAAGCTCTTTTGCTAAATGTTTAAATAATGCATTCGGGTTTATAGGATGCAACTTGGGTCTTCCTCACCCATAAGTCATTCATTTTTCTTGACATGTGCAACACACCCAAAGAAATGGTATTATAGGTGAAAATCTATGGATCCCGAACAAATCTCTCTTCTTCCTGTTTAATTTTATTTTGTAAGCCGCCCCGAGTAGACATGATCTAGAGGGGTGGGGTAAAAATCCAATAAATACAGTCGGGTCTGTACTTAAGAACGTCCCTACTTAAGAACAATCCAACTTAAGAACAGCTCCATTTGCTAAATTTTGCTTCTACTTGAGAACAGAAATCCAAGATAAGAAAAGGAAAAAAACCTTTCCTGCTCTTTTTTTAACCTTAGGTCATCTTAGGTTAAAAAAAAAAATTCTCCCCCTAGCGGTAGAGTACGTATTAACCAGCTTTGCATTAGTTCCTATGGGAACTAATGCTTCAATGTACGAACGCACCTCTACATAAAAAAAAAAAAAAAAAAAAAAAAAAAAACCAGCCAGAACGGATTAATTGGTTTTCAGTCCATTCCTATGGGAAATTTTGCTTCAACTTAAGAACGTTTCAACTTAAGAACACCATTCCAAAATGGATTAAGTTCTTAAGTAGAGGTGCCACTGTAGTTTCTATGGACGGAAAAGAGCAGATACGGATTAAATGGATTTCAATGCATTCCTATGGGAAATGCAGATTCAACATAAGAACTTTTCAGCTTGAGAACCACCTTCCAATACGGATTAAGTTCTTAAGTAGAGACCCCACTTTAAATAAATAAATAGATCCTGTAGCTACTGTACTTTTCTATCAAGGTCTCTGCCGTGTTAATTGTAAGCTCCTTGGGGCAGAGAGTTCTCCTAATATGGGTTCTATAGATTATGCCAAATAACCCCTCAATTTGGGGACTCCTTGCCATCTACGGGCTGACTTCAAAATAATGATAGAAACTTGGACAAAAGAATCGAGCTCAGTGCTGATAAACTGGAATACAGTGCTAGACTGGAATATCCATTCTAGCTTTTGGCCAAGGTACTCTCACTAACCCATCTTCTCTTCCTGGTACTAGTATCTTTGTCCTTCAGTTCTGAATGCTCCCATAATATTCCTGCATGTACCATTTGTTCTAATGCTATTTAAATTGTTTGGGGTTGCTAGGATGTAATTTCAGCTCCAGCAGTTTTTGCTATTCGATTCTATTCTATCCTATTCTATTCTATTTATTAATTTATTTATTCATTTATTCATTATTGCATTTGACAACAATTTTAGAAGACTCAGACAGCCTCTAAGAGGTGGGTCAGACAAAGCCACTGTTTGATATGCAGTCCCTCTCCGCAACACAATTAATGATGTATGTCGTCTGTCTCGCGAATCTATCTGTGGCAATATAGGAGCAAGACTAATCTGCAATTAAAATGACACATCAGGGGGAACTTCGCTGCAACAAGCAAGCTGATTAGTTTGAAATAATGTTGCGCCGTTCTGAGAGCACCCGTAAAAATTATCACCACTGTTTCTTTAAGTGGGTCTTGTCGCTTTTACGTCTGTGGGGCTGTTATCCCCAGGAACAGTGGGGTTTATCTTTTCACCTTCTTGAGACAAATTAGAATTTGAAAGACAGAAGGGATGAGCATGGTTTGCCATCTCTGGAACACTCAAGCAGCTAACTGAAAAGACATTGCTCATTGACTCGTGTGCTAACAAAGATTCAACTATATTCTGCTTTTTAACCCCATCCCCCAGAAACTCTGATTTTCGTTTATCGCATGATGTAATGATACTTGAGGAAGGGCCATGTCTCCTTGGTTGAACATATGCTTTGAGCACAAGGATTTGTATTTAAAAGATAATAATCTGAAATGCTCTTTAGTAATTTGACAACATTGCAGTTTTATTCTTCCATGGGTTCATTTTGTGCTTTCTCTTAGATTTCACCAGCTTTCTCTTAGATTTATAAAAAAAGAATTTATAAAGTTGGCTCCGGAATTAGAATCTGCAGAAATGTATGTGGGTTTTTCCTGCAGCTTTTCTTTCCTCTACGGTTATTTGGAACATAACACTCATGTGCTCCCTACCCCTGTTTCCTCTGCTGTAGTCACAGTAAGATAGTAGGAGCAATTTCTTACAGCATTGAATTAACTATAGTCTATTGTTACATCTATGAAATACAAACTGTAGTTAGTTTAAAGTCTGGTTTATACAAAGAATTTAGGATAAAACCATGTTATGTGATCCTTGTCCAGAAGGGGTAAGGGGATGAGGATGGAATGAAAGAGGGAGAGGGAAAGGATGGGGAGGGAGGGAGAGAATGCATCAAAGTTTTCCTGTAAATTTCATGGGAGATCCAAATACACCACAGTTTAACATTCTACCCAGTGCTTCCTCAGGCTGGTGCTGTGGGACTCTTGGGTGTTGAGCATTACATGCGGATATCAGAAATAGGCATGAAACAAAAGTCCTGGATCACACAAACCACAAAAACAGTTTGGAAAGTTCATGGAAGCTCATGAACCATAAGCCATCACAAATTAAACCACAAACCATCACAAATCACAGTTTTCTCGGTTCATGGAGCATCACCTCTCCTGGATTATCTTATTTTTCATTTGTGAAGTGTCTGCTAACTAATGCACTTATTTTTGCTGCCTCAGTGACATTATCTGTGCAACCTTAGGTCTCTGAACATCTGGTAGTTAAACATCTGAATTTGCAGTCCTGTTTCTATATTGCTGTTCTAAAAATAAATGCTTGGTGTCCCCTTCAGTAATTTAAACATCTGGATTCTTTGGTCAGCTATGGCAGATGACTTTTTTTTAATACTGATTTTACACTGTAGAGGGATATCCAGTGTGGTATAGTGGGTAGAGTGATAATCTAGGACTCAGGAGATCTAAGTCCAAATCCCAGTTCAGCCATGGAAACTCACTGGGATGTTTCCAGAACTATTCCTTAAACAGCTCATGTACCTTGAAAGCCCTATTTATGGTTGCTCTAGGTCAGTTCTGACTTAAGGGCACAAAAACAAGAATATAGGGGATGTGGTGGTGCTGCAGGTTAAACCGCAGAAGCCTCTGTGCTGCAAGGTCAGAAGACCTGCAGTTGTAAGATCGAATCCACGCGACGGAGTGAGCTCCCATCGCTTGTCCCAGCTGCTGCCAACCTAGCCGTTCAAAAGCATGAAAAATCCAAAATGCGACTAGATAAATAGGTACCACCATGGTGGGAAGGTAATGGTGTTCCGTGTCTATTCACGCTGGCCATGTGACCATGTGACCTGAAGACAGACAAACGCTGGCTCTATGGGTTGAGAACAGAGATGAGCACCATCGCCTAGAGTCAGACACGACTGGACAAATTGTCAAGGGGAACTTTTACCTTTACCTTTAAACAGAAATATGCTGTAGCTCCAGCACTTTTCAAATTGGGTGTTGAGAATTTAAGAAGCAACCTCTTACGGTTCTCCTGTATCAACATCTGATATCCTGTATATACCACAAGAACCTTTGAGCCTTATCCTGAAAACACCAACTGGCAGCATCTCTCCTGGTGTCTTCTATATCAGATGTTCTCAACCAATTGGCATCAATGGGATGCAGGGTTTCCACAACAATCCCTAAGAGGAAATGGTGGTCTGAGTAGAGGGCGTTTCTATGGCATGCTGATATGCCTCCACTGCTTGGACTATGACCTGCTGGTAACTATTATATGTAAAAAAAGTTTCACCTCTTCAGGTTCTCCTACAAGTGTAGGATGCCATTTACCACCTGTGCCACATCATGCTTGCATATCAGGCAAAAAACAAAGAAAAAACAAAACAAAACCAATCATGCTTGCATATCAGGCAAAAAACAAAGGAAAAACAAAACCCAAAATAAAGAAGTCAAAGACTGACTGCTATATGTTAATGTGAGCTTTTGTGGGCAAGTCCACTTCCTCAGACACAATGCGCTGCTATATTTTAATGTGAGCCTTTGTGGGCAAGTCCACTTCCTCAGACAGAATGCTCATAAAAGTAAAGTAAAGGTAAAGGTTCCCCTTGATGTTTAGTCCAGTCATGTCCAACTCTAGGAGATGGTGCTCATCCCCGTCTACAGGCTGTAGAGCCAGCATTTGTCTGAAGACCGTTTCTGTGGTCAACTAGACACAGAACGCCGTGACCTTCTGACTGAGGTGATACCTATTTATCAACTCGCATTTTTACATGCTTTCAAACTGCTAGGTTGACTGGAGCTGGGATAAGCGAGGGGAGCTCACTCCATGAGCTGGAACAAGTGAGGGGAGCTCACTCCGCCGC